CCATTTAAACCGAATTTTGTCCAATTTATGTCAAATTAAGTCCAATTAAGCTAGACAAAATTCCGTTTTAATAAAGATTTTGCCAAAATTGTGTCAGATTAGGTCCCATTAAGTCAGATAAACTCCCAATTCAACAAAAGTAGCCCGTTTATATTAAATGCATAACCAATTAAGATAAATAAGATTCCATTTTAACAAAACTTTGCCCAATTTAGGACCAAATTAGCACAATTTAGACAACTAAACTCCAAATTACCCCAACATTTACCCAAATTTGGCCACAAAAGAGCATTTTAAGCTTGTTTAGTTCAGAGGTAAATAGAAAAAACCTCAAATTATCAAAAGTTTACTCAAAAATTGGTCCACATAAGCCCAACAAAAGTAGATAAAATTTAGAGTTAATAATAAATTCAATTGAAAATTGGTCAGAAAAACTCAAATTAATGCAAAAAAAAATTTAAAAAATATTACTACAAAGAACTGATATAAGTTAAATCTTCATCAAATTTCTATCATACTGATTTTCTCTATGATATATAAAAACTATATCAAAGTAATTACAGTTAATATAATTGAAATCACTTTTCGGATAGAGTCAAAAAGACTATAACAAAATAAACAATCGGCGAAACACTTGGAAGAAAAAGCACGGTCAAAAATGCATTAATGACTTAACAGGAAACAGAAAAATTGTTTTTCAAAACTGTTGTATAGTATTTCAAAGCTAGAGTGATCCACCCAACTTGTTTACTAATCTTTTAATTATAACATGTTTTATTACCATGCGACTGATTTTAATTTTTTAAAAGAACCTAAATTATTCTTTGTTCTGCGTTTCTGCGTGTGATCTTATCTAAAACTTCCCCAAACAGTTCAATTTGGTTGAGAATAAATACCTGCAAAATAAAACAAATTTTATTTTTTTTGAACACTTATGGAACATAACTCATTCAACGAAACCTGTAGCGATTGTTTATTATTTTTGGTTAGCAATCAATAAAGCAATGATAAACTGCGGAAACGGGTACTCAAAAATTTTTGACCCAACCCGCCGTAGAATTATGCCAATTTTGTTGGTGCTATATGTAGCTTCTAAGTAATGGTACCATTTAAATTATGCCAACGAAAATTTAAAGTTGGTGGCTGTACATAGCCTGCAAGAAGCGAATGGTACTTGCTCATCAACAATGTGGCAAATTTCATAGTTTTTCCGCCAAAGAACATAAACGCGCATGCATGTCATCATCTAGCATGTAAATGTTTCTGTGATATAGTTGTTCTTTATGAAACTTCAACTTTGAATTTGCTCAAACACTTCTCACTTTGATTAGTTTGATATAGTTAGAGTTGACTGAGACCTAGTGAAACCAGTTTTAGTTAACTTTGGAGATTTTTAAGAAAAATATTATATTCTCAGACAAAAAGTCCATATAAGACTTTAAAAACAATTAGTTGTCATCAGTGCAACTTTCCAGTTTTTTTTACATAAATATAAGCATAATGTTTGCTATAGTTGCCATTAAAAAGCTAATTAAAATCGCCGATGGAAGTCAGGTATATCGAGAGGTACTCGAAATACATTTTGCTCGGGACAAAGTTCTGCCTAGCAATGGATATCATTTTCGTGCTCAATTACAACATCCCAATTGAAGTCGACCATGTACTTGCTAGTGTAAACACGATTTGTATTTTCCCAGATCAATCAAAATTGATTCTTTATTATAAAAAGCCTGCCGGTTTCAACGAAGGAGCAATCACATTTGAAAATGCAAGCTCTCAATACTCTCAAATTATCACTGCTTTCTTGAATCAGCATAACACAATAGATTTCAAGTTGATTTCCCAGCAAAAAAGATCAAACTTGTTCAATTGCGACAGTTTCTTATGACAGTTAACTGATTCTCCTTTTCTAATTTCCTTATTCTCCTTTTATAGTTTCATATTGCTTTTTCAAAATTTGATTGTTTAATTGTATCGATTAAGTGCACTGTAAGCCTTGAAGACGTGTCTAGAATTTTTCACTGTGGTGAATTCGTGCATGACACAAAATTATCCATAACAATAGCAACCCCGAAACTTTTTACCTTATAAAAGATACCAAAACTTTTTTGTGTACGACACACAGTTACTCTAATATTTGTTTCTGTAAAACACAGAAAAACTTAGTACTTTAATGATCTCTAACAACGGAGTGCAAACCGGTAACAAACTGGAAGCTCGTAAATAAACTAGACAAGGACGAAGTCAGCACTAGAAGGAACAATAAAGGTTCCACTGCATTTATGCTTGTCAGAAGCAAGACCCCAGCAACATGGTTGCGATCATGCTTCGATAATGACGAATAACACAAAGATCAGGACGATTAAGTTCAAATGACTTTCCAAGAATCAAATTAAGAAAAAAATTGAGTGAATACATCGCGATAGGAGGAAAAGAAAGTGAAAGAAAGTGCATAAGTTCCACAGAAAAAAATCAAAGGCCTCACTTCAATATTAAGTATCGTTTCATCTTTAAATTTCTAACCCAAATGAAAATGATCTTTTAAATCCTGTATTTGATAACGATGTAAATGTGTGTATCAAACAACTATCTATCTAAAAAGGGGTGAGTTGTAGTTTTGCAAATACTACACTAACTTATTTTTTAACTTAGTTCTCTAACATTTTAAATAACTCTACGATTTGAATGAATCTTTCAAGATCGGACTCACTTTTTTCTGCTGCTTTTAGCCTGGATATTGAAAACAAGTGTGTCGCTAGTTAGGCGAACTGGTTAACCGTCTTGCTTAAAAAGCAGACAGCGCCGCGACAAAGCACCCAGACGTTTTGCGATCCTAACATAAGACTTTGAACTTTTAATTAACTAAGGCAGGTGCAACACTGATAAATTGACCTGATTTTTCCAATTATTGATTTTGTTGCTAAAAATCAAAAAGTTGCAAATGTCAATTTCATCAAGAGCATGAAGAAGAGGGGGAAAATAAAGTTTGAATCCTACACTGCAGGTAAAGATTTGTCTCAGCCAAATAGCTGAGACATAAATCAATCTGAATCTTCAGAATTATTATTTTCCCCACTCGCTCAGTCGAGCAGAGTTATTTTCTTTTTTTTATTTATCACAAATTTTTCTTCAAACAAAAAGTACTTTTGAAAAATATAACATTCCAAAACAGACAGAGGTTAGATTCTTATGTTTTCCTTCGACGTAAATCAATGTAGCTTAACCTAAAAACCCCAAACGGATTTTGGTATATCAGACAGTTGTTCATCCATTTATAACTCATTTATACTTATATAACCATCCTTTTTAATTTATCTGTTTATATAAATATCATTTTAAACTCTAGGACCAAATCGACTATGATCTGTGATATAATTTAACTGAGACTTATAATTTTAGCTACTAATTGAAAAAAAGGGATCTAACAATCGACCCCTATGTTTCTTTTAGTAAAATAATAATCAGTTATATTAGATTGTTTTTATCAGTCTCTATAAAATTCAAAAATGATCTATTATAATTGATTATATTGTATTATAATCAATTATAATGAATTTCACAACAGTTTTAATTTTTTTTTGAAAAGTTTCAGATACAAGGCACTATATTCAAAACTTAATAGTTGCTTCTGGCTTGATACACATAGAACTGAAACGAGATTTGATTTGGCTTAAAAATTTTTCGTCGTGTTTTCAGTTTTGATTCCCAAGACATATTTCAATAGAACCAATTCAAATTTAGCCCATTCTGGGTTTAAAGTCGGCGGTAGGCGCGCAATGCGCGTGTCACCGCGTCGCAGCGATAAACGGCGCTAATTTTTTTACAGAGTCACACCTTTTGATGGCAGGCTCACTATTTATTAGGCGAGCGATATAAATTGAATTTTTGATCAATTTTTTTGAAAACATGGATGTTTACCCCAGTGAAGTTGTTTTCAGATGCTTACAGCACTTTTTGGTGTCTCTGACGTTTTGCATTATTGAAGTTTGCACGGTACCCGGTGCAGTCTATCCAAAATTACTCTATGAGTTAACCACCAAAATTTTAAAAAAGACTGCTCGTATCAAAGGTGTAATTATGATAGCTACAGCTACATTTATGGCCTCAGTTTACTTTAAAAGAGTCGCAAAAAATCAGCGCTGATCAAGCCAAAGTTGCGATAATAATTGGCGGTTCCATGTCACATCAATGAAGTTTGAAAAGTCATCGAATGGTTTACTATTTTAATGGTAAAGTCCTAGCTTAGTCTATTAATCTATGGTTTCAGTTAATACAACTACTTTTGGTTTTAAAAAAACGCGATAACAGAACCTGTCAAAAAACAGATGGCAGAAAAATAGAGGAAGACTGAAAAAAAAAGTTTTCAGTCGTCTCCGATCAATTTGCAAAGAAAGCTCTTTCAGTTCATCAAAAAAGTGAGCAAAATATCTTAAAATATACAGACGGCCTTTTAAGTAAAATTATGTATTAATTATGCAGATTGTGGGCCGAGAGAGGAGGTGTTTGTGACGCGAATAAGAAATTTTAACTAACTTGACAAGCTTGAAAAAATGTGTTTTCTAGCAACTATGCCATAAAGCCGAAATTAATTTTTAATTCAGCTCATGCTATGGCATTGTGTCCCATAAATAAATATTCAAGTAACCTTTTATGATTTTCCCTGTTTTTACATCGAAAATGACAGGAACTTTTGGTTATGGAAGTGGTTTTTCATTTTTTATTGCCAGAAGAGCTGATAATTGAACGATTATCAGGAAAATTGCTCTTCTTTCTTCCAATTTTCCGTTCACGAGGTAAATAAAGAGGTAAGATCGTTCAATTCGGCAGCTGAGAGGGAGTTTTAATTGAGTTTTCAAGTCTCGGCCATAAGTGCAAATAGATTTTTTTTAAATGTGAAGGCTCCTTCCTATAGAGCTCTTTTTTGATTGGATATTTTCCTTGTCACCATTTGCTTAAATTTTTCTTTTTTTTTGTTTTTCTCAGTCCAAACAAAAAGCATTTACGCTGTTATTCGCTCAAATTTTTAGAGTAAACCCTGTTTGAAGCTGTTCCTTTTAAATGATAATGTCTCTACGACCAAAACTGCGCCAGCTAAAAATTTAAAAAGCTAGTATTTAGCTTCACTTTTATTCCACCTACAAGTTGATCATTTCAAGTAGCAAACAACTTGAGACGGATGAAAAAACGTTCTCCTCTTGAATAGCGGGTGGTACATCAGCGCCTTTCAAAGGACCATCAATCATGGCATTTATCTGAAACTTACACTTAGAGGTCAAAAATTATGAAAACAATTACAACACTCATTACAGCTGAAAAACAGACAAGTGGATTTGACACTAATTTTGGGATTTTTTATTAATCTTACCAACTGCCAAGAGCTTGCAAACTCCTTCCTCTTGTTCTGATTTGAAAATTACTCTCTTACGAATTTTTAGCCAGTGTTTATATCACTCGATATCAAATACTCTTGTCGTCTCTTCCTTTAACAAATTTCATTCAAAAGTGCTTCGAGAGGGTAAATATCGCAAATTTTATTTGAAAAAATCTCCGTTCTATTTAGAAATTCAATTTTTTGAGCAAACACATTACGTTAGTTTCATTTATCAAGGTCTCGTCAACTTCTGATACAATCTTGGTTATTTTTCTGCTGAACTTTCGTATCAAAACCGGTTTGTTCAGCCCGTTTTTGTTATCTATTTATACCATACTTTCCGTCTTTCTGTATTCTTGATGGCATACATACAAAAGCTATTATGCTCTGACTTCCTAAACTAGTAGATACAATACTTTTATATATAAAAGAAAGTCTTTTATGGGCAGTATTTAGCATTGATCTCTTAATCTTCGTGTTGTGCGCTAGTCTCTAAAAAAACTAATCCACAAAAGCTTTTTCCGCCCTCATTATTTAAAACCCGAGATAGCTTTTTTGACCCTACTCAAAATCATCAGGTCAAAAGAGTTTTAAATTTTGACATTAACTTTTGAATTATTTTGAATGACGTAATCAGAATCAGATGAATTATTCTCAATGACAACAATGTCTTTCTAGGCTTTCCTCTTGAAAGATTCCTGATAGCTTACTTTTTTCATCATTAAATTTAGTATAATAGATTGCTGCCCTTACATAACAAAGCAATCACATATTCTGAGCCAATTCATAATATATTTCGAAAGCTGAAAAATATCTGATTTCTGATACCGTGGAACTGTCAACTGACACAGTGAAACTCAATTTGTTTAAAATTGCGTCACTTCAAAAAAATTGCCATGTCGCTAGTACGAATTGTCAATTTACGACTTAAGCAAAAGCCTTGACAGATTGATTTTGCCCCTAAAAGGCAAAAAGTGATTTTCACGTCAACTACGATTTATTTTCCTTTTCCACTTTCGCATATAGAGACCCAGTTATAACTGATTGTAACCAATAAATCAGTGAAAACTAGTTTGTTCAAAATGCACTGGCTCTACCCTCTCATAGACGGGATGTTCATCCTCGTGACCCTCGTCCTCAACTCCTCCCTCTTATACGTCATCAAAGTCAGATGGCAGACTCTGAAATCAGCCAGGTACGAGAATGATGATTTGCTCCTTGTATCTGGATATGATAAATTGCAATAGATAATTTTTTTTAGTCTACAAATTGCGTGCGCCTTATCAATAACGACCCATTTATCCATGAAAAAGAAAGACCACAGCGCGAGCAGCGCTCCTCGAAAAGGCCTTTTTATCAATAGCAAGGCGAAGACCAAGGAGGGGGTTGCCAGTTTTTTCCTAAGGAGCTCAATTTGTTACTGTTCTCTGGCATCTGTTTTGGGCCTAAGAATTGAAATTTTTTTCTAAGAAAGCCTTGGCGAAAAAAAAATACTACTAATTTAGATCGTTTTTGGTTTGAAATTATTGTTTTGCTCAAAAGTTGCGTGAAGCACAGAAAAATTGACAAAAAAGGCAGCACTAAAGTATGGGCAATCTCTTAAATCGTTAAGCGATTGATATTAGAAAAAGGGCGACAGAACAACAAAAATTGTTGAGGATCCAGTGATCCAAATTGCATAGATCTTTTGTTTGACCGTGGCGAGAATTGACGGACAGATCTTACATGTTTGTATTTTCCCAAAAAAAAATTTAAAGTCATTGTGCTCGCTGGTAAAAAAAGACCCAATTATCAAACTTATTGTACCACTTTTGTTAAGAGTGAACACTCTCATCTGTCACTTGGCAGCCGGCGACATCATAGTGGCATGTACAACCATGACTTTCTCATTCATAGCCATAACTACAGACACCAAGTGGAAGTTCGGACTCTTCTTCTGCAAGGTACGTACAACTTAATGTGGCTCTTTCAACCCCCCCCTCCGCCCCTCGCATTATGACACTTAAAACATGAACATCAGGGTAATCAGTGTTTCTAAAATGTTGCGTATGAAAAAGGACAAATTTGGTTATAGTTAGTCCTAAGGTCTAAACTTTATTAAAACTGCATGAAGCGTGCAAAAATGTATCAGCAAAAATTCATATTTAGGAAAAGTGTAAGAGTTATTACGGTAAACTGACAACCAAACAAAGCGCGAATTTTAAATTGCTACGCTGAAATAACACAAATTGCACATCCTAGCCGAAAATTACAAAAGAGCTCGTATCAAGGCAAGTCTTGAATGTTTTGACTGCCCTTTAACTGCTTTTAGGCTAATACTAACAAATTTTAAATGATAAAACTTCATTCGTATATGAGATTAATAAGACTGCTCGCATCAGGGCGAAGACCTGAATGTTCCGACTGCTTTTTAAGTTCTATGGAGCAGTGTTTGCTTTAAGAAAATGATAAAATTTTCAATCAAAACTGAAAATAAAACTGAGATTTTTTAAAATCATCACCCTACACGCCAAATTAAGCACCATATTTGCTCCGTAGCAATCATGACAAATAGCCTCAACCAACTTGAATCGATTTCTACGAGCGATTAAATCTCCGCTTACGCGTTAATAGCTCAAATTGAGCGTTATTTGTCCCAAACTGGCAAATAGGCAAGCTTTAAACTCCCATAAATTTACGAAAAAAGATCACTGGTGAAATATCATTTTAAATTCGAGCTCAATACAGCAATACCTTTTGAATGATCAATGATCAAAAAATGTAAGTCAAAAATGCTAGTTAAAAAGTCGATATTTGTCTGTAGAAAAAAATCACCCCCAGCACAAATATTCCGTCTTTTTTTGCGAAGGTCCGAACAATAAGACCAATTAACATACCTCCATTCAATTTGAAATGACTCTGTAGTGCGGGATAAATTACCACGCTTACAAAATTTGCTTTCGGTTTTCAGCATCAAAGTAGAAAATGAGCAGTGTAGATGGAGCGTTCAACAGTTCCCAAAAGCAAAAGTACCGAAACTGAAAACAAATGTGTTCATGAGTCTCAATTAAGGATCATATTTGCAAACTTTGAATTCTTTTGAAAACTTTGAATTCAAACAACTTCCCAAATTTGTTTTCTATTTTTCAATTGCATTTTTAATAAATTTGCATAACATTTTTCAGAATTTAGTTGTGTCGCCTTGAAACAATAATTGTCCTTTCTAGGACTATGGTCGGGAAAATTTGTGCTATTTGCACATTAACCAGCCAACTTTGTTTCAATTTTATATATTCTCTGAGCCAGATTACTTCGTCAGAATGGTTCGAGTAACATAAAATTTAAGAGACTTTTTCAATAAAAACTTTGGAAACATTTTCTCCGTGTCGAGAAAAAACGGTTTAAAACTTTTGATTTTTGTTCTAATTTTGAGCTCAAACGTTTCTCAAAATATAGTTTGACGCATTACGAGGCCAAATTGTGCCCTGGATAGGATTTTGAGTCTGTATGTTCCTGGATTCTAGAGACAAGTCTTGAAACCTGTTCCAAATTGTAAGTGGTTTCCACTTACAAAATTTCAGTGGATTCCGCGTACAAATAGCAGTAACGTAAAATTTGTCGGCACATTGATTTTGTTGCAAGCTCCGCGACAAGCGAATATAGTTAGTTCATTCCGTATATCCGGATTCCGCAAATTTAAACGGATTCCGCTTACATCTTGCGGATTCCGCTTACAGTTTGCGGAATCCGCTTGCGATTTGCGGAGTCCGCTTACAATTTGCGGATTTCACTTACAGTTGCAGATTTTGCGCCAGCTTAAGTTTTGTAAACACATTGTTATTATTTTTTCATGGATTCCACAAACTGGTTCCTGATTCCACACATTTTGTTACGGAAAGTTGCCTGATCTTGGAACGATTTTGAGCAACACAGTATTTTAGCTATTTGTCCGTGGAATCCAAAATAGCAGAAAAGATCAAAAAAATAGCAATGTTGCGGATTCCGCGTCAAATCGGATTTTCGCCTGCTGCGGAATCCGCTAACCATTCACAAAAAGCACCGTTTGGCCTCGTAACTCGGCTTCCAATAGCTTACTTAGGCTTAATCCGAAAAAACAAAAGTTTAGGTTACCTCGAGTTAGGATATTTTTTGATTTTTTTTCCAGCCATTTAGGGAACCAAAAATTTTAATAGCTTAAAAAATTCTGCGCATAAAAAATTAAAAATTTGTTTAAATTTTTGTCCATTTTACTTTCGTTCATCTAGTCAATTTTCTTTAAAAAAACGGGTTTCCGAATGTCTTATTTGAAAATGATTGTCAAATATTCCTAAATACAATTTTTTTGTTTGGATTTTACTATCAAACTTCGCAGAAAAAAGCGACACTAATTTGCTTAAAAAAATGTCTTTTTTAGGACTATGTTCGAAAATTTTTGCGCTATCTGCACATTAACCAGCTATCCTTGTTTAAATTTGATATTTTCTCGAAACCAGATTACTTTGCCTCTGATGCTCCAACCGCACAAGATAGATTGCGGATTAATTATCCTTCCATGACAACTTACGAAAAAGATATAAATATACATATTTTTCTAAGCCTTCATTTGTGTAACGCTTCTTAAAATTGCCTTTCAATGTGAAAAAACTAAGCTAAAATAACATAAGAATTAAACGGTTATTATTTTCGCCGAATTTAGAAACGGTATAGGGTTTTGGACAAAAATTAATTATAAAACACAAAAAAAACTTTTATTTTTAAGGAAAATTTAAGGAAAAATTTAAGGAAAGTTTAAGGAAAACTCATTTAAGTTGCATCCAGTTTTTTTTCAAGTTCGTTCAAATAGCTTAATCAACAAAATTACAGCAAGTCAAAAGTACAAATTTGTGCCAGAAAAAAAGCAAGTTGAACTTTCTTGGAACAAAGTAGTTACTTCCCTATGGTTTTAGGCTTTATTAGGGGTAATGAACGTAGTGAAGACTCCTATATAGGTCTTTCTGATTTTTTTTGTTTTTTTTTCAGGAAAAGTCTTAAAAGTGTCTAATAACTACAGATGTGCATTCATTGATGCAGTTATGAATGCACTTAGGTACATATGCACTTTTTGAGTTCAATTGAAATTCATCTGCTGAAAGTGACGTAAATAGCACTCTCCAAATAAGAAATTGTAAATGGCGCGAAAAAATGTGAACGATTTCTAGTTTCGAATTCAATTTTTAGATTTCCAGAGGAAAAAAAAAACGTTTTACCTCGTGATCCAATTTCCTCAAATTGAGTTCATGGTATGAAAAACGAGCTTTTTTTCAAAAAAGTCAGTGTTTTTTTGCTTACTTGCGTTCATTGCTCTTTTTCAATCTTGGTTGGGCTATGTTTTTAGTTTCATTCTTTCATTCTTTCGAATTAGGTCGCGAGCGTCGCCACCGAAAATGAGTGAATCGCAACTGTCGAGTTTCAACATGAGCGAGTTGCGTCGTGGGGCAACAGTAGAAAATCAGAGGAGTCGCGACTTCAAAATGAGCGAGTCGCGACGAAATTGCGTGTCTGAGCTAATTTTCATTGAATAATTTTCATTGAAGGCGTTTACTGATAAAGAGATTTTTCTTGAACCGAAACTTTTTGTTCATATCTTTGAACAAGAACACTAAAAAATTTCAATGGAACGCTTATTGCGCAACTTTATGCTGCAGCTTTGCGCGAAATGTTTGATCGTATTAGCAACCAAAATGAGTTGAAGCCACGACTATGCAGACCTTTATGCGGCCGGCGTGACCCAAACCACTACTTTCTGCGACGCAAAACTTCGGCGCGAATGCGAAACGTCGGTCGCGCCCCATCTACATCGGGTAGCCGTTTTTGGAAGCAAGTTAAACAGCAGACCTCGACCTGGGGTGCTGGGCATAAAATTCTCTATTGACTGACTACTAGAAACTAGAAATAAATCAGGTTCAGGCTCTTTGAAGTGCTCTCTAATTAGATAAGTTAGCATGGTCCACTTAGTCGTAAAATGTACAATTCAATTAGTTCAAACCTGTGATCTTTTGATAAACAAAACTCTAACAACAAAGACTTTTCTAGCAAAAAAAGATAACTGACAAAACGACTCTAAAAACAGCAAATTAAAGGTATAAAATTTAATTAAACGTAGTGCAAAAACAATGAGGTAATCGAACCGATCAGTTGCCAAGTATCTCTTTCTTTTAAAAACATGGTAGTGCAAAAATTGTGATGAAATGGATCCGATCAAATGCCAATTAACGTATACATTACAAAAGATGGCAAAGCAGATAATTTGATGTAAATTGTGACTGCTCCAAAAATTCACAACAAATGCTAATTTTTTTTTTTGATATTTTCCCATGTTTTTTTGCTCATTTTCAAGCAATTTCCAATGTTTACTTTTTGATCTTTAATAATTCACTCTTTGTGAAAATAAACTATACTGCCTGTTTTTCCGCCTGGATGTTCCGACTGATTTTTAGGGTCATATAAAAAATGTGTAAAAACTGACATTTAAAAAAGAAAGTTTTTGTTTTGTTTTTGGTCTTGTATCTATCCACAATACGCTAACGTAAATGGCAGAGCTTTGTATCTAGCGTATTGTATCTTACTAACGAGACCAAATTACGTGCCTCAATTTAGTTTGGCACGAAATAATCCGCCACTTACCCGTTTTATAAAATTACAATATATCGCGCCTGAATTATCACAAATTGGGCAAAATCGAATTTTTGAAACACCCAACTTTACAAAAAAGTTACATGTGAAATTTTGGTTTATGTTTGCGTACCAGATAACAATATTTTTTTCATATGATTCAACAAATTCTGTCAAAACATTCAAATTGAAGGGTCGAAAAATGACTGAATAAATAACCACCCATAACATAAATATTAAGCACTTTCTTCAAAAGTCGGAAAAAAAAGAGTGATAGTATACCAAAGCAAAGCCCTGAAAATTCCGACTGCAA